CTTTTAGCTATTCTTGTTAAGGTTAAGGCTCCCTGCATTCTTTCATCAAATGGCTTTTCGGCTCGACAGTGGGGTTTCACCATTTACAGTATAAAGAGTTGATTCTAGCACTCTTTGTAGAGGTAGTCGGTTGCCTTCTTGGCTCTTCTCTCTCTTTCCATTCATCTTTGATCACAGCACCCTTCATACTTCATGGTCAGTAAATAATATTTCATTATTTAGTGGTTTTGGATGCGTGCTATTTTGTAAGTTTTGATTTTGATTATTACTTTATTATTAACTTTTTCCTTGAATTTATTAGTTTAACAACTATAATTTTTAATATATAATATTTAAAATATATTAATGTAATCATATACAATTTAACCTTGGTCTTACCCTTAAATGGTAAATTAGTGCCTTGACCGATTTGATTCTAATAACATGGCTATTCCTTGAGCTACAGCTTTTATGTTTTTTTTTTTTTAAATAAATTACATGATTTGGTTTGAGTAGTTATGTACTTCATGGATAAAAAAAATTTGCATATGGATTTGACAAAAATTGAGATATGAATTTACGATATATTGGTAAATTATCTTCAAATCATAGTATTCTGTAAATATTCTTGTAGCCTTGTGGTAAAATTGCCAAATGAAGCGAAGAAGAGAGACGGGTAGAAACTAACTATACTAAGAAAGCTGGTCTCCCACTCTTATTACTGTGAGTTATTCCGTGCTTTCATGGGTTTGAATGAATGATGATGGAATGAAATATTAATTAGAATGATATTATTTGTTCTGTTATTAAAATATTAGAATAGAATTCAATGTATCTCTTGTAAAAATAAAAAATGAAACGACACGTTTAATTTGCTTATGTGCGATTTTTTTCCCGAGAGGTATGGCCTATCCATGAAATCCATTATGATATCTCTGAAAATGTTGGAACTGAAGTTCAAAAAAGATAAGCAAACACTCTTAATCCTCCAATAGAATTCATGTTCCCATTCCTTGGTGGACAGAAATGGAGCCAAAGGCACTTGAAAGTTTAACCTTTGTACTCTTTTTATGATTAATATAATTACATAATTTTTAAGCAAAAGGAATAAGGCTAAGCTTAATTGACAATAGAAACTATCTCCCTCATATGCCTTTAAGTTACGAGAGCCTTTACAACTCATGTTAATTTTAATTGGTTAGTTTCATATCTACATTAAAGAAGTTCATTCTTTGGCTGATCAAGCATTAATATGGGGCCAGGTTGCAATTGATGATTGAATCTCCCAGTTTCGGCCTTTTAGGCAAAATCTCCTATTGTAGAGTGTTCTTGGGCTTATGTTCACTTGAATTAACATTATCTTTTATTTGCATCCTATATCTGTGCGTGCGTGTAAATCATTTCTTTGGAGAAATTATGATAATTTTACAAGTTGCTTTACATGAGAAATAGAATATTAATTACCTTATTTCAATTTATCCTCCTGCAGCTTCCAATGAGAGATGAGTAGTTTTTTAAATGTTGATGTATTTAATAAAAGTAAAATATAAAAAATTATTTTCAAACAATATTAAGCAATTTATCTACCCTTTATTGATTTTGATGAAGTAGTTACAATTTTCAAGTGATTTATATATAAGACGGCACTGCTTATTTTGTTAAACTTCAAAGCAAAGGCACCTTCGTCTTCAGCTAAAGACATGGGCCATTCTTTAACAGTTTGACACTTTGACTAGAAGTTTAAAAGGGGGAAAAGTATTATTTTCTTCTCTTTCTGATATCAGTCATTATTTTCCCCCATTCCATTTCTTCTCTCTCTTTTTTTAATACAGATTGGATTGATAATCAAAAATTACGGGGCTACATTCTTGCCCGGCTGAATTATCTTAAATCAAATTAATGAAATTCCGAAATTATTTTCTTAAGGAGAAAAGTCTAACATGCATTAATTAGTTTAGATCTTACCAAAATAGTCTATAATGGCATTTGACGAAAACAAACTTTACAGTAATGAAATTGCTACGCGAACACTAACTATTTCGAGATAAAACTAAAATTTCGCAGTGGCAATCATTTTAAAATAAGTAATAGAAAAGAAACACCAATAATACAGGACGATGAGGACCAGGAAGCTAGAGCATTTAACGAAGTAAATTCAAGCAAACACCAATGATGCAGTTAACGTCCTCTCACCTCGTGGTATATGAATTACAAAGTGTTACACAAGTCTTCTTGTGCTGGTTCTTTCATCAATCTTGATAGCTTCACATCCTATCATTCAGTATATCCTCAATGAAACGGCCCAGATAAGCGTAGGAAGATCCACCTTCCTTCAGCGCCTTCCGACTCAACTCACTCATCTGTTTCACCTTCTTCCTCCTCTCACTTTCTCTCTCCATCACTTCCTCTTCCCCTTTCTCTATCCTCTCTGCACTTATTACCCCCGGCTCGCTTTCTCTCCTGAAAGCCATTCTGTAATCCAATGATATTTCTACGGCCATCTTCAACTCGCGCACTAATTCAAACGCGTTGGTTTGTTGTTCTGCGAATAGCGGCCACGTGGCAATGGGCACTCCGTAATATACACTTTCCAGGGTAGAGTTCCATCCGCAGTGGGACACGAACCCTCCAACCGCTTCATGGGCCAGCACTTGGGCCTGGGGGCCCATCCAATGACTTCCCAATCTGGGCAGTCCGATCTAAGAACCCTTCTGGTAACACCTCTGCCGGGTCAGAGTAATCAGCAATGTTCTTTGAACCCTCCGGTGGGGGCTTACGCAAGGACCACAAGAAGCGGACCCCACTGTTCTCTAGAGCGCGCGCTATTTCTCTCACTTGATCCTCACCGAAACAACCCCTGCTCCCGAAGCAGAGGAATAAAACCGACGACTCGGGCTGATTGTCTAGCCACTCCATGACATCTGATCTTTGTTGAGCCTTTTCGTCGTCCATAGCGCTTAAGATGGGCCCCACAGGATAAATCCTGGTATGTCCTTGGGCAAAGGAGCGAACAGCGTGCGATTCAAGCTCCTCGAACGTGTTTACAATTATACCCTTCGCTTTCCGAAGGCCCTTGACGTAATTGTCCACAAATTCCTCCCACTGCTTCTCTAGGAGCACCGAGGGCAAAACATTAGCGGGCACGGGGTTCTCAAAACTCGGGATGGCCAACTCAGTGCCCGAGTCCTTGAAGTCAGGCATCGTCATGTCGAGAACACCCTGTTCCCCGAGCTGGTGAAGATGGAGCATAAGGCCGAGAAATGCGGCGCCGGAGGTGTAGAAGACGACGGTGGGAACGGCGAGCTCGTTGGCGACGTCGACCATGGCTGTGCAGAACATGTCGACGACGAAGGCGGCGAGTCGGGGGGAGTCAGGGTCGGATTGGGACTGTTGAACGAGGTCGGACACGGCCTGCTTGATAAGGGGGATGTTGTTCTGGATGAGGTCGTGTAAATAGGGAGCAGACTCGTCGGTGGGAGATGAACGAAGTGGAGGCGTTCGGGGAAGTTAGGGGAGGCAGTGAGAGAGTCAGTGTAGGCATCGACGCTGGTGGAGCCTGGTGACTTGAGGACGAAGACGGTGATGGAAAGGCGTGGTCCTGGTTGATAAGAAGCTTGGCGAACTCGACGGTGGACACAAGGTGACCCATGCCGGGAGCAGGCACGAACACTAGCCGTGATTTCTTCATCTTGGATTGGGGGTTCAAGCACAGATGCCTGCCTGGCTGAAGAATGGTGAATCTGCTTTTCTTTTGGTCAAGCCAAGGAGATGCTTCTGAGCTCTATCTAGATTCTAGAGAGCTCACACTTCTCAAGCTTGTGTCCCCTTGATTTTTATTGGATTATTTTATCTAAAAAAATGTTAAATTAATATTTTGAAATAACAAATATAAATAAATAAATAGCCCACAGGAACAGACAGACCAGAGTCACTAGACTCAGGAAGCAAAGGGACACACGGCTTTCCAGTGAATTCTGGGCCGCTCAATGATTTCATTTCAATTTGCCTCGGTTGGTGTGGGTATTTCATATTGTCGTCAAAAAGTAAAACAGTAGGAGACTCTTTGAAACGATAGGGAGACAATTTTTACAACTTGGATCTAAATAACCACTCGACATTGGTGTATATATAAATTACAGGGTTAGGGTGTAAAAATGTTCTCGATATTTTTTACCCAGCACACGTTATATTTTAAAATATTTTTCAGCTTAATTTCACCTTTAACATTTTTTTATTTAGATATAATGTTGCTTCCTAACTGCATTGACCATTACTCTTTTTGTTTAATAATATAAAATATTTTTAATTAAATTTTATTCTCAATAAAATAATTATTATTTTTAAATTAATTTTATTTTTTATATTTATTTTTATTTAATAACATATTTTATTATAAAATAAATATAAAATAATTTATTTAATAGAGATACTTTTAAAAAAAGATAATAATTACACTTTAAAAAAATAAAAACGTTTTACATTTTTTAACATTTATCTTTTAAAAAATTTTATATTTTTAAATAGAAGGAGTAGCTTTTAAATCTTGACCGTTATCTTCCATCTAGATCGCCGGCTCATCATTCATATTAGTATTTGTAATTTATATTGTCCATTTAACTTTTAATCCTATCTTCAATCTTTTAACTAGATAATGTTAAATCATTTAACCAAAGTTTAACCCTTTTCTCTCCTTGAACTTAATCCACGAAGGTAGTTGGACTCATTTGTTTGGTTTGAACACTTGAGAGGCTACAGATGAGGCTTGAGGAGAGAAAAGGGTTAAAATCTAGTTAAATGAGTTAATCATATCTAGTTAAAAGATCGAGGATAGGGTTAAAAGTTTAATGAACAATACAGATTACACATACCCCACGTAGATGATGAAATGGTAGTCCAGATTAAGGGTGGGCAAACAACTCATGACTTGATAAACCTATCGATACCCAATCAAAATGGGCTGATTAAAACTTGCCCATTAGGAGAAAAAACAGATAGGTTAAATTTACGGGCTGGCTTGTGATTAGTATAGATGGGTGAGATAGGCTACAAGTTGCTTGTCTCTGCTTGTTTATAGGTTAATATTTAAAAATAAAATTGTGCAACTTGCAACATTGCGTCCACTCCAAGGTAAAGGAAACCCTTGTCGCCTCACTCTGCTTATCATCTCATTCTCTCACTCGACAACTCGCTCTCACTCTCTTCTCCAATCTTCACTCCACTTGAGCTCTCACTCCGTCTTATTTGGTTGTCGTTGTCTCATCTCCATTCTTTGACAGTCACTTTGCTTCTTTTCATCTCCCTCATCCCTTGGAGGCTAAGACTAGTGGTGTCTCCCTAGTCAAAACTCAAAGTTAATTGTTAGCTTGCCATAGCTTCGATGCTTCCTTCATCTTGGCTCGTCTCCCTCCTCTCTTGAATGCATAGATATGAACCTCTTGGTTGCTGGCAAAGTTGAACTCTGAAGCTTATTGCCTAATGCTTTGGCTCTATATTTGAATTGCTTCCTTTGAAAAACTTTCTTTTCAATGTCCTTCACTGCTTGTATTATGCTAAACTTTTATTGCTAAATTTGTTGCGAGTAGTGGCCCTTATATTTTTTTTAAAAAATACTAAACCATATCATGATTATATCAAGTAACCGCTATATATATTTCTAATATATAACGGTTAAAAAGTATTATATATTTGCTTAAAGAATATATAGTAGTAAAAAATTATTATATAAAAAAATATTGTTATATGCCTTTTTAGTAATAATGTCACTCATATATAATCCTAATGATATATTTATGAAAAAAAAAGCAATGTTTTTAGGATCAGATTGACCTGAATGGTTGGATTGATCCAACTATCACCCGCTTAAGAACAACTTTGTTAAGCCAGTTAAATTGAATTGGATCGAGTAGTTTTTAACAACTTGAATTTAAACTAAAACTCAAAATGAGTCGAGATGAGTCAAAACAAGTTATAGATGGGGAAAAAGGATTACAGATGTGCTCTGTTCTTCTTCTTCAAATATTCACTTGATGTCTCATTCAACCATCACTCTTCAATGGAATCCTCCGTGCTCTCCTTTCATGTTTCACCTTGAGCCGATCTGTCGCCGTGGAGATTTGGAGGAGCAACAAGAACAAGAAGCCACACAAGGGGAGAGAGAGAGCGGAGACGCAAAGGAAAATTTATTCATAAGGAGATGAAGAAAGGAGATGCATAGATCCATTTCATCCGCAACAATTGTTGGAAGCTTATCCAAAAGAGTGTGTGGACATTTTTTGACTTAGCATGTTGAAGTTGAAAGGGAGCAGCAGGAAAAAAGAAACTGAGATGGGAAGGGAGATGGTTGCGCAGTGGTATAAAGTTAAAATACAAAATATTGTATAATTATTAAATTATTAAATGGGGAGTAAAATTCAGTAAATATACATAGTGGGAAGGACTAAGTCTACGTCTGTCTTGCAATCTTAGTTATTGAGCTTGTGTTAGTGCTCACTTGAAAAGACAAAAAGCAACTACACACAATTCTTTTTTTTTTTTAATTTTATTCTTGTAATCAAATGAAGTAATTGTAATTTGCGGGTCTTCGACATTAAAGCTGTTTTCTTACTAAAAATAAAAAACTAAATAAATATCCTATTTTCAGATATTTATTTGCTATTTTTAGCTTTTAAATAAACTTTTACTTTTTTATTTATATTAGTTTATATTAATATTTATATTATTATTTAATTATTTTATTACCTGTCCAATGAATTGAACTGTAAGAATTGTGACTTGTTAATTTTTTTGATTTGATGTTTGATCTGATTTTTAGAACAAGGATAATGATATGAAATGAAACAATTGTACTTACAAATGATCACATACATTTGATATTAGTTAGACGATTTTTTTTGAAAAGAAAATTTTTAATCAAATATTAGTAAGAAGTAGAAAAAATGATGGAAAAATTTCCTGAAATATACAGCTAATAGCAAGATGTTGTGAAATATCATAATTATTTTAAATTTTTGATGACTTTTCTAATATTAATAATTTTTAATAAAATAATTAAAATAATGTCATAATTCTTTTCAAATTTATACACGTTAAGTCATTCTATTCTATTCATTGTCATAAAAAATAATTTTTATTTAAATTAAAATAATCACTTATATTTATTTTTTTAGGATTAGAGTGGTTACTTTTTTAATTTAAACTTAAAGTATTTTAATTATTTCACCAAAAAATTATTAATATCGAAAAGGTAATCAGGAAATTGAAAGAAAAATTATAGCATTTTACAAAATTTTATTGTTATTTACATATTTTAAGAAATTTTTATGTCATTACCCCTTTTAAATGAACGTATCTGATTGAAGAGCTGGACGGCTTTTTGGCCGACAAATATAAAATATTGCAATTTGCAACACTATTTGCAAGTGCCATTGTAAAGTTAGAAAATTGATATAAAATATAGAACTTTTAATAAATTATGCTCTAATATTTATAAACTGTAAGGGGTACGGACTACTTTTTTTTTAAAAAAATATAATATTAAAAAGCTTGGATAATATAACTTTTAATATTTCAAAATTGCTTCATTTATCAACTTAATCCTTCAAATTTAATTTTTACCAACTTAACAAGTCTTTCACATTTTTTAAAATTTTCACATCAGTCTTTTAAATTTTGAAATAAAAATTGAATTTTAAATTAATGTAATATGTAAAATATGTTGGTGACTTAACATGTATATATAGTTAAATAAAAATAAATTAACATTTAAATCATTTAATGTTTATCAATACAGTCCTTTACACAACATTTTTGTCAATCTTTGTTTTTTTAAATGTACTGAAAATTGAATCAGTTATTGAAAAGGTCAAAGAACTAATTTAATAATTAATGGTTAAAATTATAGTTAAACTATAATCAAACTAATTATAAATAAAGTATTTTATTAAATTGGTCAAGACATTAATTTAACATTTTACCTATTTAATCGGATCGGTCAACTTAGATTTACAGATTATGCATATATTTTTAAAATTATGAGGATTAAATTGATAATCTAGGAAAAATATATGGATCAAAATAATAAAAAATAAATTTAAAAGACTAATATCCAATTTGGATTGACAATATAATTGATTTTTGGGGCCAAATAATCAAGTTTTGGAAAAAGTTACCTAAATAGCCAAAAAATTTGATAATTAATTATTGAGCTAGAATCACGTTTTGAAATAAGTTTTGAAAGATTACTTACAGGTTTAATTTTACTATTAATAATATATTTTACTATTAAATAATGTATTTTGCTTATAGATTCAATATTCTTTCTGATAATTTACACAGTTAAAATTAATTTTAATATAATTATATTAATATAATTAATTATAATTAAAACTAATTATATTAATTAATTATTTTTACAATTAATTATATCCAATTAAAATTTAAAATATCCTAAAGTGATTACAAAATCAAATTTAGAGAATTAAAATTTTATTTAAAAAAAATCTTTCAATTTTCGTACCCCTGTGCCGTCAATAGCATCGCAAGCCCAAAACTCACTGTATCCACAAGATCAAGAGATTGATTAGTTGAACACGGCCACTCGTGTTTTGTTTTGTTTTAATAAAGTCCGCGTTATAAAATTCAATGCTCACGTGTCACGACTTTGCAATATGTCGGGTATTTCTCGGATGATATATACCAAACTCATAACAAAGGAATGTTCCAGCATCGTCATATCACATCGGTCTAGCGTTTTCATTTGGATATAATAATTTAAAATTAAATTCCTTTTTTGTGAAAATTTAAAATTAAATTCTAATTTTAAAAAATCTAATGGAAAATTTA